AGAAGATGCAGCCTTGCCTCAGAATTTATAGGCAAATATCAGAAGAGGTGTCTGGAAAGGTGCCTTTTCAGAAAATACGCGGCCTGCCGCGATTCTACCGCGATCGCGGCAGAACCGCGGCCAGAGAGGCTCTCTGAATCTGACTGTCGCGATTCTACCGCGGTCGCGGCAGAACCACAGCCAGCGAGGCCCTCTGAACTTTCAGCAGGGTTCTGGCATAGTTTCAGCAGTGATTTGGCATTTAATTAATTATTAAATAATTAAATAAATTTTGTCCAAAAAATAATCTTATCGATCATTTGACAAATCCGAATCCGAATCCGAAGCCGAAGCCGAAGCCGAAGCCGAGCCGAGCGAGCGACGACGATGGCGCGAGGGTTCATTCTCTTCAACTCCTTTTAAGAGCTTATCTATAAGCACACAAATGTGATTGTCCCTCACCAATGAGGGACAAAGTGCAAGACAAAAGTTCACTTCTTCAAATTTTCATTTTCCCTCCATTTTATTTCCCTTCATTTCCAATTCACACTTCTTCTACTTTAAAGCCCAATGGCTTAAAGTCCAATAGAAACTTATATCCATGTCGTACATGTAAGACTTGTAACCAAGTCTTGTTTTTGGATAAGACTTTATGAAATTCCTATAAGTAGCCACATGGCTTGAATGACTAAGAGTCATTCTTAGCCATTGTGGCTTTGTGCCACGTGGCTTTGGGGTTATTTAATTAACCTTTGTCCGCTTATTAGTTAACTGGGTAATATTCTATTACCCGGTAATTAATTAATTACCCGCATAATTTAAAAATTATTATAATTTACTTAAAATTCTATTTATTTTTAAAATACTTCATATATACTTTATATATTATACTACCATGGTCATATGGTACCTTGAATGGTACTTGTTCACAATTATCGGGTATTATCGCTCGACCCGTATTTTATTCCAAATTGGCCACTTTCAACGAAACTCGTTTTCTTTAATCCGTGTACCACTTTATCCTTCATGACACTTATTTATCGCTTGTTATAAATAGTGTAAATACGTTAACGTCAAGATGATCTCATCCCCGAGTCTACGTCAATTAACTGAAGACGAAACTTTTAACGTACAAAAACGCAAGATGTAACAGCAGGATCCCGCCTGAAGAATAGGGGCAACCTCCAGTTCTTTTTTTAGTTCAAATCAGAAGTAGCACGAGCCCGCCTAAAGAACAAGGTTTTCAAGCTCAAGTCTACCCCAAGTTCAAATTTATTTCAAGTGCAAGCAGCAAGATGCCCGCTTGAAGAATATGGTCAACTTTTAGTTTTCTTCAAGTTCAAGTCAATAGGATGCCCACCTAAAGAATAGAGTTGATTTTTCAGTTTCATGTTGAAGATTCAAGTAGAGGTTCAAGGAAGATTTGATATAAGAAGTAGATAGGATCTTGTATTTTTCTTTCATTTTTGTTGTAATTTTTGCTTTTATTTTTGATGTAATGGCAGGGAACGCGGACCGGAACCTCGAACGGTACCTCACTCGACTCTTCTCTCATATCATCATGCTCCATCACTTCATTCACTTTTGAACTACACGTGACCTGATTCTTTTATAATCTGGGATATGTAGGTTGTCCAAAATCAGGACTCGGTCGCATTATCTTTCTTTTAGTTTTATTCTCTTTTAAATAAGGGTGAGGTCAAAAAATTTGTCTCGTCGTTCTTTGTCTGAAAACTCTTCGTATTTCCAGTCAAAGTGTAGACATGTAATTTTTGACCCTCCCCAAAATTTTATACCATTTAGTGCTTAGATGTTCATTTTAGATTTCATATTGATATTTTAACTATTAGTTCATTTTTAGCTTTATTTTATCATAAAAAAATAAAAACTACAAAAATATTTTTCCTTTTTTTGAGTAGGTGGTGTTCTTGTATAACTATTTTTGGCTTGTCTTACTTTTGATAAAAATTGAAAACCACAAAAAAGAATCACATTTTTAGTACTAGTTTAGTTTTAATTTACAAAAAAAAATTATGAAAATATGTCTTCTTTTAATCTAGTATTTTAACAAATAAGTTGGTTACATTTATTCTAGTTCATTTAATTATTTTAGTCTAAAAATAGTTATCTCCTTTTGGCTTTAATTCTAAAAGAAAAAGAAACAAAAAAAAAGAAGAAGAAGAAACGAACCAATTACATTTTCATTGAGAAAATAATCCACTCTATCCAATTTTGGAATAATTCTTGGTCATCACATTCCCCTCACTTCTGCACACTAAAACACTCATATTTTGGACTCACATGCTTACTTTTATTTTTGAAATTTTCATTCCAGATATTCCTAATTCCACATGCACACAATTTTCCTTTCTTGCCCATAAACAATTTCACACGTCATTTTTCTCTTTTATTTGATCTTATCCATAACATTTTCCTTGCTCCCCAATTAATCCCAGCACATTGGATGCCACTCTTGATAGAATGTTCTCACACCAAACACACATTACATAAAGAGAGAGGAAGACATGAGAGAACGGGGAGAGACGACACAGAACATCGGCTTTTGGACAGAGACAACACCCATTTTAGGATTTGGCTCTCTGTTATTGCTCTCACAGAAAATCAGGCCAAAATACCATAGATGCGACACCAGCCACCACCAGTAGAGCCATTGTAGATCTGTCCCCAAAACTGCCATGGGTCCTCCCTAACAAGCCATTTTCATGGTTGTTTCGCCATTAATTGTTGAGTAACGTCGAGTATTGTTCGAGTGCCCCGGTCGACACTTTTCTGTTCAAGGTCCGATCAGAGGCGTGAATTGATTTTCAATTTAGTGCAAGTTTGCTGTCAATTGTTTTTGCTTTTCGGTGTCATACTCAGAGGCATTCTTAAATCAAATTCTGAAAGAAATTTTGGTTTCAATAAAGGTCCATTTCTCAAACCCATTTTATTTCAGCTTATTACGCTCGTTTGATGAATAGCTCTAATTAATTGTGACTCTTCTGTGTTAGCATGTATTTCCTTTATTTAATTAGTCAGTTGATGTTAATTAACTATTAATTTCCATGATGCTTCTTAATTAGCTTGTTGCCTTGAAATTGTGTAAACAACGGAGGAGTACATCAGGAGATTGGATTGATTACATTGACATGATTTTCTTTATTTTATAGTACATTGGAATTGAAAAAACATCGTAGCTCACAAAGAAGTTATAATGTTAAGAAAATAATTCTAAAATTACAAAGAGAATTTAGGCTAATCTAACTGATCGTGAGCATTAGTTGGGCGTTGAGTGGTATTGAATGAGACAAGAATCCAATTAATTAGAATTAAGTGATTTAGGCTTGATGAATGATGTGAAGCGTTGAAAGAAAAATGAGTATGAAAGGAATGTCTTATTTTATTTTAGTTTATTTTATTGCTTTAATCGCTAGGTGCATGTTAGGCCGACCACGCCCGGGTAGGCAACTTTTAAGATGTTTTCTTTGTTTTTTGGCTTCTAAGGCTAAAGATCGTTTCCTTAGTTATTATCTTATTTAGGGGAATGCCCCATAGATTTTGTATATATTTTTATACGAGGTATGCCCCATAGTGAATGTAATGGGAGGCCGTGACGGACATCGTGGAGGGAGCATAGTACTCTTAGTATTTTTCTCTTATTTTTTTTTTGTATTTAGGTGGGAACGACCTCGAGCCTCTTGTGTGTTTATTTTTCTTTGTGTGTTTTTGCCTCAACTTGAGTTTTCTTTAAATCCAACTAGATTAAGTATGCAACCGTATTAGTTGCGGGACTCGAGGAATGCCTAACACCTCCTCCCGAATCAAATGAACCTCCTTTCTCTGAATCTCTGGTGCAGACTATGTTTTAGAGTCTATATGTGTTTTTAAAAGGAAAAATTATTTTTAAAAAGTTATTTTTAAACCAAATATCAGGTAGCGGCTCTGAAAAATTTTTTGAACACAATTTTGTCACTTTCAATTTGAAAACCCTTTCGAGTTTTAAAACCTTTTATTAATTTTAAGAGGGTTAGTGAAGTGAAAAAAAGGAGTGTGAGAATGCTCAAAGACCCCTTACATGCAAAAATTATTAGAAACCAGGTCACATCATTGATAAATGTTATAAACTACATAGGTATATTCCAAACTTCAAGTTTACAAAAGGGCCTGGCAGTAGGAAACTGCAGCTCATGTTGAAGTGAACTCTCCTGGTCCTCCTGTTAATGTGGTTTCTAATATGGTTTCTGATTCTGTCAAGCCATCTAAGTCTGGTAATGTTTCAATGGTCCCTGGTTTGACACAAGATCAATTCTCCCAAATGATGATGTTACTGCAACAATCCCATTTTTCTGTCGATTCCTGCTCTACTCCCACTCTAATGGCTTCTGCTAACTTTGCTGGTAAGTTGTTATCAGAAAGTATTCCGCTCAAGTCATGCATGCTTTCACAAGTAGATAGTTTTATTTGGGCTATAGACTCTGGAGCTTTTGATCACATGACCTCTTATAAGGATTTACTTTTTAATCTGCAAACACTACCTGTACCTTGTCTAGTTTCTCTTCCAAATGGTTACAAAGTCAAAGTTCATTTAGTAGGATCCTTGACTTTATTTTCAAATTTCACAATTCATCATGTTCTTTATCTTCCTTCCTTTCAATACAATCTTATTTCAATTCATAAGCTGTTAGAACAATATAATGTGATTATTCTGTTTACCAGAACTCTTTGTGCTATACAGGCCCCTTCTCTGAAGATGCCTCTGGTTCTTAGTAAATTGGACCACAGTCTCCATAAACTTTTACTTCCTCCTATTGCTTCTGCCAGTACCACATCCTATTACTCATCTATTGTTACTTCCCCTGTTATTTCCCTTGTTTTTCCCTTATCTGTGTTTTTCCTGAGATACAAGCAAATGTAAAGAATGTAATTGTTGTTGATGCTCATGAAACACATGTAAATACTAATGCAACTCCGAATAATATCAATGAAATGGATGCAGTTTGGCATTATAGGCTTGGGTATTTTCTTTTTTCTAGAATGAAACACATCTCCATGCTTGGGTCACAGTTATCTTCCAAATAGTCTTTTTCTTGTCTAATATGTCCATTAGCTAGACAAACAAGATCACCATTTCCTGATAATAGTATACAAACCACAAAACCTTTTCAGTTAATCATTAACAGTTAGGGTCCATATCACTGACATACCTATACTAGATTTATGACCATTGTTGGTGATTTTTCCAGAGCCACTCGGACCCACCTAATGAGAGCCAAAAGCGATGCTTTTGATCTCTTAAAAGCCTTCATTGCCATAGCCGAAACTCAATTCTAATTGAAAGTTCAAAATGTAAGAAGTGACAATGCTTTAGAATTGGGATCCAACGTTGTTGGATCAAAGTTCTTCTCTAAGAAAGGGGTATTGAATCAGACAACATGGCCTCATACTCCATAATGAAATGGAGTTGTGGAAAGGAAGCACAGACATCTCTTGGAAACTACTAGAGCCCATCCTTTCCAATCTAGCCTCCCTCTTAGATTTTGACGAAACTGCATACTCACAGCCACCTATCTGATAAATAGGTTCCCTTCTAGTGTATTAAAGGACAAGAGTCCCTATGAAATCTTATATAACAAACTCCCCACATACTCAAATCTTAGATCTTTTGGATGCTTATGTTACTCCACTATTCCAAAATCTTATAGGGGCAAACTGCAGCCTAGGGCCATTCCTTGTGTGTTTATTGGTTATCCCTTTGGGAAGAAAGCCTATAAACTGTATGATTTACAGAATAAAGTCTATTTTATCTCCAGAGATATTATATTTCATGAACATATATTTCCTTTTGTTCAATCTGGCTCTACTTCCCTTACTATGTCAAATTTACCATTTTTTGCATGTTTTGGTCACTCTGCTAAGCAGAATTCTTCTTTGTTCCATGACTTCTTCTACCTTGCTCCACCTGTTGCATCTCCTGTCTCTCCTCATCCCTCTAATCCTACTTGTTCCGCTTCTGAAATATATAAGAGCAGATCTCCTACTTCTCCTAATCTCCATTTCTCAGAATCTGAATTCCCCCCTTAAAGAGATCATCTAGACCTCATAGTCCTCCTTCGTATCTACAGAATTATGTCTACAACCTACCAACTCATGGCTCTAGCTCTGCTAATTCAGCTGTTATGTCTACTTCTAGTGAGCATCATGCATTTGAGACTACTACTTATTCTAAGGCAACAGCTATCCCTGAGTGGCAGAATGCTATGAGACTAGAGTTTGAGGCATTGGAGACTAATGGTACTTGGGACATAGTTGAGTTACCCAAGGGCAAGAAGCCAATTGGCTGCAAACGGGTATATAAAATTAAGTACAAAGCTGATGGGAGCATAGAGAGATATAAAGCTAGGCTTGTGGTAAGGGGTGATACACAGGTTGAAGGCATAGACTTTCATGAAACTTTTCACATGTAGTTAAAATGTCTTACTGTTAAAACTTTAATTGTTGTAGCTGTTAAAAGAAATTGGCCACTATTCCAACTAGATGTTAATAATGCTTTCTTGTATGGGGACTTAGATGAAGAAGTTTTTATAAAGCTTCCACCTGGTCTTTCAGTTTCTACTGTATCCTCTACTTCTGCTTCCACTTCTTTAGTCTGTAAACTCAAAAAAAAATTATATGGTTTGAGACAAGCTTCAAGGCAATGGTATACCAAGTTGTCTCAATCTTTGTCTTCTAGAGGCTATGAGCACTCCTTCAATGACTATTCACTCTTTATTAAAGGTTCTGGTGATGTTTTGGTTCTTTTGGTAGTGTATGTTGATGACATTATCATCACTGGGACAAATTTGTGTGAGATTGCTATTGTGAAAATCTTTCTCTATGATCAATTTAAAATTAAGGATTTAGGCCACCTTAATATTTTCTGGGTAATGAAGTGTTGTATTCTGAAGGTGGGGTGTTGCTGCACCAGAAAAAGTTTGTTCATGATCTTCTCAAAGAGTTCCACTCTTATGATTGTTCTTCAGTGGTATCCCCTCTTGATATGCATGACAAGTTGCAGGCTGATCATGGTGATCGCTTGCCTAATCCTGAGACTTATAGTTGCTTAGTGGGTAAACTCAACTTCTTAACCCATATCAGACCTGACATTTGTTTTGCAATGCAACATTTAAACCAATTTATGTAGAAGCATTGCCTTCCTCACATGTAGTAGGAAGTCAATCAGTGTGTTTTGCATTTTACTAGGGGGATGTCTCATAGGCTGGAAGTCAAAGAAGCAATCTGTGGTGTCCTTGTCATCTACTGAAGCTGAATACAGGTCTATGAGTAAGGCCACTGCTGAAATTACTTGGGTTTGCATACTTCTCTCTGATTTTTGGTGTTACCTTTTCTTCTCATGTTTAGGACTGCTTATCGGGCGAATTAGACACTTATTTACTTTTAACGGTTTGGCTTATCGGTTATCGGCTTTTAAATGTATTAATCCGCTAGCTACTCGATAAGATATAAGATGGATTGGTATCGGTTTAGCTCTTATCGGGCGGTTATCGGACGGTTTATCGGCCTAGCATACAAATTCAGAAATCGAAATTACACCAGACATACGTGTCTTTTAAAAAAGCAGAACACATCATTTGAGATTGAAAAAAGCAGAACTAGGTAGATTACATATGAGTCTGCAACAATTAAAGTCACAGTAAATGAAGAAGTGGAAATGAGCTAGGTTGATTATATATCATTTGAGAGTGAAAAAAGCAGAACTAGGTTGATTACATATGAGTCTTCAGCAATTAAAGTCACAGTCTCACATTCTGTATCTTGAATTTCTGTAGCTTCAAAAAAAATGCATACACCAATTCTGTGGGTCCAATTAATAGTAACTGCCCAGTTGATATTTTTTTCTACAACGGACAGCTCTTACCACAGGCGATTCAACCATAGCCAAACCAAGTTCAAGCTCTCAAGAAATCCAATTCTGTAGGAAACAACAACAAGAAATCAGCAGTCAACGACTCAAATCTCAACAACGGTGCTAGCCAACACAATAACGGCCATGCCAAGATCGACAGCACAAGTAAAAAAGAGGCAACTGTAGGTCAATCGTTTGGTCAGAAAATTTTACGTCTTGCGACCCTTGCAGAGACTGTCATGTCACTGAAACAATTCCATCGACAAAATCACAAGCACTAAGATGATGAAACACAAACATAGTTCCACATTCTGTAATCAAAATGTGTTTGGTATGAACTTCCTAAAAAATGACTTACCATGGATAATGTTTTTCAATATTTCATTGAAGAGTGAAAAAAGATATTTTTTAGAACAAATACTTGAAGCCTTGATGGGTTAAATTCGAATTCTTACCAGATATATTAACACTACACGTCCATTACGGAAGGGTCTTTTCCATTGCGGCTAAATCTGAAGAAAACAATTTAAATAATGAGTCGTGCGATAAATATAAGCATATCAACAACACTTATAAACAACAAATATAGTAACAATATTATTACCTTATTCAAGCTGCTCGATTTTATCAAGATCTTCCTCAACACTAATAGGTTGTTTTAATTTTTCATTTTGAAGCCAATCTTGAAGACACACTAGAGCTTGCACCAATTTAGGAGTTAATGAACTCCTAAATGAATCAAGAAGACGTCCTCCCATACTAAATGCACATTCAGATGCCACAGTTGAAATCGGAACAGCTAATACATCACGAGCCATCTCCGCAAGAATAGAAAATCTAGCTGAGTTCAATTTCCACCAAAGAAGAACATCAAATTCTTTAGTGTCATCCTCAGTTTCTTCACTTAAATATTTATCTAACTCTGTTCTAGTATCAACACCTCCACTCCCACTTTTATATTTTTTTATATCTTGCATGAGTGATTCTGAAAGTCCTATATTTTGGGTGCTTGCTTGACTGCCAGAAAGCCCGGAAGTCGAAGTGTCCAATGAAGAACAATCTGAAGATGAAGCAAGCACAACACCTTTTGAGCCGGACTTTACATACTCACTAAATAATGAAGTCATGTACTTCGTCACTTTTGCTTGTATAGTTGCCCCCGGATCTACACCAAACATCTTTACAAGTGCATAGCCAACTGATTCAATCTTGTAACATGGATCCAAAATACATGAGATAAAAATTATCTTGTTCATTTTCTCTGGATCACCCCAATACTTATCAAATTTTTCTTTCATATTCTTTGTCATTTCACTTAAAACTGTATCTTCATTTAATATCAATTGCTTCAAATAAACAGCAATTGCGCAAATTTCAAGAAAATGAATATTCGATGTAACATAACGTGATCCAGATATCTTCAAAGAAAGAAGATAGAAGATTTCAAGAAACTTTGTTATTCTTTTTACATTCTCCCAATCACTACTTAAAAGTTCACCTGTAAGAATTCCAACATCAATATAAGAATGCTCAAGATAATGTCTCAAGCCAATTTCACTAGAAGCATAATGTGAAATGCACTTTCAAATTCAACAGCTCTGCGCAACATCAAGTAGGTGGAATTCCATCTAGTTGGAACATCTAAGCATAAATTTTTTTTTACAATTGAGTTGCTTATCATCAAAACATTCTTGAAACCTCTTCAACCTCGCAGGAGACTGCCTAACATATCTCACTGCATGCCTAACACGTTCAATAGATATCGAAGATTCTTTTAAACCATCCTGGACCATAAGATTCATGATGTGAGCCATACATCTCATGTGAAGGTGAGTACCATTCATCAAATTAGTTCCCATTTTTGTTAATTGCTTAGACAATTCTTTTACTGTCATCATTTGAGCTTGTATTATCAACTATGACAGTGAAGATCTTATTTATCCCCCACTTATGTAAGCACCTACCAATACCATTTTCCACATCTTCACCTTTATGACTAACAATAGGACAAAAATTAATTATTCTCTTATGCATATTCCATTCACTATCAATCTAATGGGCAGTGATACACATGTAATTGATTCTTTGTATAGAAGTCCAGGT